TTCCGTCTGTTCAAGTTGTCGCTTAGATACTCCCGCCTGCGAACTGCTGCCAAGTTTGCGGTTAAGCGCGATGAGAAAGCATGGTTATGCAACCTTGATTCAAAGCTAGAGCGGGCTGTTGAACTGCATGACTCACGTGAAGCTTGGGCTGTCAGTCGGCAGCTGGCTGGACATGGGCCGTGTAAAGTGTATGACCGTGTTGTCCCAGCCGCACGCTTGATCACCAGAAGCCAATGGAAGCAACATATGCGTGATGTTTGGAACGGCAGTGAAAACACTGATGCTGTTGTGCGCCCGGATCACAGTTGTTCCGAACAAATGCAGCCTGCAATTGCCGGTGAGCGGGGTCGTGAGGCATTGCTTAAAGCAGCGAAATCCCAGGCCAGAGGACGCGCCACGCCTCAAGGCAGTCTCCCAGCTGAGCTCTGGCAGCTCCTTCTACAGGCACGACCCTTGTGTCCTGTCAGTGTGTCCTCTATTCCGGAGATTTGCATGGGGGCCTTTGAAAGCATGCAGCGTGTTGGTTGCAACCCTCAAAGTTGGTGCGATGGAGAGGGCTGTCCGCTACCCAAGCCTGGTGGTGTGTGTGGTCCAAATGGGCAGCGCATCATCAATCTGCTTGATCCTGCAAGCAAGTTGTTTTACAAAGCGTTGCTGCAATTTGTGCCTGATCAGCCTGCTGATCACCAGTATGGCTATGCATCCAGCCGCTCCCGTCGTGATGCTATCTTGCATGTTGAAGCTTGGCTCGATCGCCTCAGGGCGAATGGTTTGAGTTCTGCTGCTACGCTCTTTGACCTCACCAAAGCTTTCGATACACTTGCTCTCAGCTGCATTGAAGATCTTCTCCATAATGAGCCGATGCCTGTCTCAGTTCGCGAGCTACTTCTTGATCTGCATCGACGATTGCGAATCAGTCTGAAGCAAACTGATGGTGGGACCTTGCAAGTGAAACTCGAATCTGGTGTGTTGCAGGGCGGCGGAACCGGCCCACGTATTTTTCGCATGGTCTATGATGCTTGCATCACACGTTGGCGAGATGCCACTCGTGACAACGATCTGACTGTTACTTACAACGGTCAAGATCTTTCGCTCAGTGCTGCCGCCTATGCCGATGACCTTGTTCGCATCCAGTGTGGCAGCACCTTGCAGCAACTTGAAGATCGTACTTTAGCCTGCACGCATGCCTTGACTGTCGAGCTTGACCCGCGCAACTTGAAGTTGAATGCGAAGAAGGGTGAGACGTTGCTGTCCTGCAAGGGCAAGGGTGCCTACACCGCCGCAAGGAGTGCTTTCAGTGGTGAATGGAATGGCTACCCTGCAAAGCTTTGTGTCAAATACCTTGGAGCACAGTTGCAGGCAAACGGCTCTTTGAAAGCTGAGCTACAGAAACGAATTGGTGCTGCAAGGTCCGGTTTTGCCCGCTTTTCGAAGTTGTTCAAGCGCAGAACCGTTCCTGTTGCCCGCAAAGTGTTGATCTTCAAAGCTGTGGTCAACGAAGCTCTGCTGGCCGCGTTGGAGGTTCGCCCAATTGGCTACAGTGAGTGCCACACGTTAGAGCGGGCACGTGGACTGCTGCT